GATGAGGCCAGAGAAGATGTGGAGACCCATCCTGGAGGGATTCCACTGTGCATCTTTGGAAGGTCTTCGGCTTCCCTCCTGCTGTTAAAGGATGTCTTCCTTGCACCTGAGGAGGCTCCACCTCCTTCCTAGGACCACAACCCCAAAGCACCGTGGAGAGCCCCAGGGACCTTGTCAGTTCTTGCTGAATCCTCTCTCCCCAGGATGATCAGTCTCTGTACCTCCTAAACCACCTGTTCACCAGCGTCTTCCCACTTTCCATCTCCAACCCAGACCCCCCTTTGAAGGTGCAGCGTTCACTGCTGCTATGGAGCCACTCAGTCGTGTCCAACTCTGCGGCCCCCTGGACTGGGGCCCGCCGGGCTCCTCTGTCCACGGCATTTCCCAGGCAAGGGTACTGGAGCGGGAAGCCATTTCCTTCTCTAGGGAAGCTTCCCGACCCAGGGATCGAACCCAAGTCTCCTGCATTACAGGCAGATTCTTTACTGCTGAGAGAGATTTCTCCAAAAAAAAAAAAAAGCCCTAATCCCATGGGGGACTTGCCTCATGCTCCAGTGGTTAAGAGTTTGCCTTTCAATGCAGGCGTTGAAGGTTCAATCCCTGGTTGGAGAGCTAAAACCACCACCCCCCACCAGGCCCCATGGCCGCAAAGGAAAACATAAAACAGAAACAATATCATAACAAATTCAGTAAAGACTTTTAAAATGGTTCTCATCAAAAAAATCTTAAGCGAAAAAAAAAGAAATTCCATGGGATTTCCTGCTGTGAGCCAAACTCTATTCTAAAGGCTGGGATTCAGAAGTGAAAGAAACAGCCCCAACTCCCTGCTTTTTTCTAGTGGACAAAACCAGTTATGTTAAGAATACAGTGTCAGGTATGAAGATTTTCTGCTGTGAAGACAACAGAGCAGGGAAAATAAAGATAGCAGGTCATGGGGGGCCGGTCACTGCGGGGTTGACCTGGATGCCAACACCCACGGCAGGGGTGAGTCTCCGGGCTTGGCACATGGTCGGTGTTCAGGAAATAGCTACCGAGCAACTCTAAAGTGGTCGTGCCAGAAAGAGAAGGATGAAATACAGAGCACGTAATCTGACCCACATGGGCTTCCCTGGTGACCCAGTGGTCAAGAACCGGCCTGCCAGTGCAGGAGACGTGGGTTCAGTCCCGGGGTTGGGAAGATCCCCTGGAGAAGGAAATGTCAACCCACTCCAGTATTCTTGCCTGGAGACTTCCATGGACAGAGGAGCCTGGCAGGCTACCATGCACGGGGTTCACAAAGAGTCAGACAGGACTTAGCGACTGAACAACAAAAAGAACAATCTGTCCCACACGAAGGAGAGTCCAGTCCAAAATACTGATGGCTTGGATCGATATTTTATCTATCTATCTATTTATTTATTTTTTGGATCAATATCTTAGAGATGTTGATTAAAATAGTTTCTATTTGTGGCGATGATGACATTTATCGTAATTCCTGTAGTGCTCTTAAATTTTTAAAATATTTATTTATTTTGGCTGCACTGAGTGTTAGTTGGGGCGGGCACGATCTAGTTCCCTGACCAGGGATCAAACCCAGGGCCCCCTGCATTGGGAGCGCAGGGTCTTACCCACTGGACCACGGGGGAGTCCCCCTCTAGAGCTCTTAGGACATGTTTGGTGGCAGGTACAGGACCTCCTTGAGTCCCCTGAAGCACTGGGGCGAGGGCAACACTGCCAGTCTCAGGGTCAGGTCCCCTGGGATGACCGTGGCTTGGGAGGCACGGGTTGCGCGTGGGGAGGGGAGCAGTGGCCCCGGGCAGCAGGGCTGACGTGCCCAGCGTCGCTCCTTGTCTCAGGGTCCTCACGGGCCACCTAGAGCAGGGCGCTCAACCAGGGGCCATTCTGCCCCCTCTTCTGTGGACATTGTGCAATGTCTGGAGACATGTTTGGCGGCCATTCTGAAGGCAGGGGGCGTTACTGGCGTCTAGGTAGAGGCCGGGGATGCGGTTCAACATTCCATGATGCCCAGGACAGCCCCCTGCAAGGCACTATCCACCCCCAAGCCGGCAAGAATGCGACATTTAAGAAAGCCTGATGGAGCATTTCTATGAAGGGAGGTGAGTGGGAGGGGCAGACACACCCTTGGAGAACCTCAGGAGAGCTTCTCCCCAGGAAAAGGCATCCCATCTAGGATACGCAGTCAGGAGGCTCAGCCGTCCAAGGACCCGACTTCAGACGACAGAGGGGACATTCTGAGCCCTTGATTTCAGGAAGGGCTTCATTTCCACAAGTGATGGTGTTCAAAATCTTGACAACTATGTAGCAATATTCAGTTCCACCTCCCCCCCAGATGAACAATTTCGACCTAGATTATTGTTCTATCAACAGTGAGACCTCAGGGCAAAAAAAAAAAAAACCACTCACAGAAAGGAAAAGAAGAGGGGGGGAAATGGCTGTGAAGAAATGATTACAAGTAATAAAAAAGACCAGTCCCAAGGGCGACTGGTCCCAGCCAGCTTCAGCCTTGCTCCAAACCTTGACGCGAAGCTCGTTCCGCCTGGGGGGCACTTCCTTTGAGGAGGCGCAGGTGCCTCTTCTGCTGGGCACTGTCCATCGGCCTCATTTCTGCTCTTCAACTTGTCCAAGCTCATTCCAGCCTCAGGGCCCTGGCTGTTTGTGAAGCATTCTTCCTCCGAGTATCATCAGCTCTGGACTCATGAACCCATGAACTCAGGTGGCCTCCACCTCCGGTCACTCTAATCATCTGTACCCTTCACGGCACGTATTAACCTGTGTATCTGCTGCCTGTCTGTTGTCTTCCTCACTGGGCTCGGAGAGGTGGGCTCTTCTTTACTGAATCCTGGGGCCTAGCACCTTGCCTGCCCCACGGGTGGTAGCAAGAAGCAAATGGGTGGGACTTCTTGGGTGGTCCAGAGGTAAGGAGTCCAACTGCCAATGCAGGGGGCGTGGGTTCGACCCCTGATCAGGGAAGATTCCACGTGCCATGGGGCAACTGAGCTCCCACGCCCCAAGTACTGAGCCCACGCTCTGCAACAAGAGAAGCCACTGCCAGGAGAAGCCTCTGCACAGCAATGAAGCCCCCAGCAAATTACAACACAGCCCCCCCCCAAATAAATTAATTAGTTAGTTTAAAAATTAAAAAGTAAAAAACAAATGGGTGACTGGCAGTCAGAGAGGCCGATAGAAAGCCTGGATTGGCTGCTTCTGTGGTGGGTGCCCTGGGTCACAGCTATTCCCGTCCTCAGTTTCTGCATCTGCAAAATGGGAATAATAATACCTCTCTCTCTCTCTCTCTCTCTCTCGGAATTGTGAGGATAGTTCCATAAGGGCCCCAGCATGTTGTCTTTAATTTAGTTGGAACCCGATAAATACTGGTCTTTCCTGATAAACTCTTCTCAAAAGACTAGCCTTCCAGAATCTTCCCCTCCCTCTCCAACCACACCCAGTTCTTTTATACTCCCTATGAAAATGTCCCAGAGGTATACCGGGCTTTCTGCAGAGCTATGGAATCTTCTGTCAAAGGTCAGATACCAGGGGACAACGGTGGGTTTGCTTAGGTTGAGTGAGCATTTCCCTGGCTTTATGCTGACCTAATCAACTCTCATCTCCAACAAAGTTTCTGAAACTAAACTCACTGCTTCCGACCCTCCCCATCTCGATATGCTCTCTGTCTTGGTGAAAGACACTATCACTGTCCAACCCCACCCCACCTCCAGCCTCTCCACCCAACCACTCATTCATTCATTCACTCATTCATTTACGAGCTAACATTTTGGATGATGTCACCCATGAGATGACTCCTAGCCAGGTTGTTTTAAGTCCTAAGAATTAAGTGCCAGTGATAATTACAACATCCCGATTCCAACTTGACATGTTGAGCGTTTCCTCCACTAAGAGACAGTTGAATAGAATACAGAGTTTGGCAAATGTTTTCTGCAAAGGATCAGATAGAAACAGTTTAGGTTTTGCGGACCAAGAGACAGAACTGAGGATTTTTGTTTCAAACCTGTACCTGGATATTTGTAGCAGCCTTATTGTTTATTTACTTGGCTTGCCAGGTTTTAGTTGTGGCATGCAGAACCTAGTTCCCCAAGCAGGGATTGAACCTGGGCTGCCTGCACTGGGGACTCAAGAGTCTTAACCACTGGACGGCCAGAGGGGTCCCCAAACTGGGGATATTATGTGGATACTTACGTAAGGGAGAAAACAGATTTTCAGTTAATGAACTTCAAAATATAATAACAATACTTGATTATAATTTTTTTCAATGTAAGTTTATGAATGAAAAGAATGGAATTCTTTTGGAGGATAACATTGCTTGATTGGAGTTCAAAGTCATGTTTTTTTATCCTGAAAGAGATAGTGAAGTTTTCTCTGTAAGAAAGAGAGAAAGTGAAGCCGCTCAGTCGCGTCGACTCTTTGCAGCCCCATGGACTGTGGCCTACCAGGCTCCTCTGTCCATGGGGTTTTCCAGGCAAGCGTCCTGGAGTGGGTGCCATTCCTCTGTAAAGTCCCTTGTTAACTCACGGGTCCTGCCAAGCAAAGGCAGGCCGGACTTGGACTTTGGGCCGTTGTTGGCTGACGCCTTATGTGGCCCTCAGAAAGTTGCTCAGGTCTGAAGGTCGGCCCTAGCCCCGTGAGACCTTGGGTAAGTCATTTACCTTTCTGTGCCTCAGTCTGCTCCCCTGGAAAATGAGGATGACAGTAACAGAAATCACCCCATAGGGCCCTTGATTTTTTACCTGTATAAATGCATTGCCTTTTGTTTGTTTTTTGGTGCTGGGTCTCCACTGCTGCACCAGCGTCTCTCTAGTTGCGGCGAGTGTGGCCTCCTCTCTACAGCTGTCGTCTCCAGCATAACAAGTCCCAGCTGAGGGGTGGCGACCCCAGCCTTCCTGCTTCTGCACACGACGTGGCACTTGTTTCCTTCCAGGCGTTCGGGTAAACCATCCGGGAGCCATCCTCGGCCCCGTCTTCTCTGCCCGTGTCCACTCATCCAGTCCGTCTGCAGGTCCCATGGATTCCTGTCCAGGCATCTCTCCTGGAGCCCACTGCCAGTCTCCACCGCCCCGCCCCCTCGAGCGCATCATCCCATTCACAGTTCTTCTAAAACCCAACGAAAGTCACCTCATTCCTCTGCTCAAAACCTTCCAGCAGGTTTTTGTCTCACTAGACAAAAAGCAATGTTCTTTTTAAAAACAGGAGGCTGTTTCACTGCTCTTAGCAGTCATATTAAGATGAAAGTGAAAGTGTTAGTCGCTCACTCCTGTCTGACTCTTTGTGACCCCATGGACTGTAGCCCACCAGGCTCCTCTGTCCATGGGATTCTCCAGGCAAGAAGACTGGAGTGGGTTGCCATGTCCTCTTCCAGGGAATCTTCCCGACCCAGGGGTTGAACCCGGGTCTCCTGCATCGCAGGTTCCTCATCATCTGAGCCACCAGAGAAGCCATATTAAGATGAAACTTATTTAAAAATTTAGTCTTCTGTGTTTTTGGTGCAGGGCAATTAAGATTTTCTTAAACATCCTACGTAGTTACCCACTCTTGAGTAATTTTTTATGTCTTTGAAATGTCCTGACAGTTATTTGGGTATCTATTTGATAGGGTGTCACTGTGATATGACATTTAATATAAATGGAAGGGGGATTTTTTTTTTTAATAAAATAAATGGGAGGAAGGGAAAAAAGAGGTAACAGCAGCTTTTATTTTGGATAGGTACATAATACATAGAAACCTGGGAAAATATACTTAACACACTAATTGTTAGGGAAATGTAAATCAAAACCACAATGAGAAACTACCTCACACCCATTAAAGAGTTGCTAACAAAAACCAGAAAATAACGAGTTAGTGAGTATGATTTCCATTCCAAAGGAAATCAGTCCTGAATATTCATTGGAAGGACTGATGTTGAAACTGAAACTCCAATACTTTGGCCACCTGATGGGAAGAACTGACTCATTGGAAAAGACTCTGATGCTGGGAAAGATTGAGGGCAGGAGGAGACGGGGACGACAGAGGATGAAAGAGATGGTTGGATGGCATCACTGACTCAATGGACACGAGTTTGAGTAAACTCTGGGAGTTGGTGATGGACAGGGAGGCCTGGTGTGCTGCGGTCCATGGGGTCACAAAGAGTTGGACTCGACTGAGTGACGGAAATGAACTGAGTGAGTATGCAGAGAAATTGCAAGTGTTGAATACTGTCAGTGGCAATGTAAAGTGGTGCAACTGTTGCTGAAAATAGTATGGCAGCTTCTTAAACCATGAAAAAGAGGATTATACACACTACTATATAAAATAGATAATCAGCAGTGACCTGCTGTATAGCATAGGGAACTCTAGTCAATACTCTGTAATCACCTGTAGGGGAAAAGAATCTGAAAAGCTATAGATACATGTGTGTGTTAATTGCTCAGTTGTGTCCAGCTCTTTGTAACCCCGTGGACCTTAGCCCACCAGGCTCCTCTGCCCATAGAGTTCTCCAGGCAAGAATACTGGAGTGGGTTGCTCTTCCCCTCTCCAGGGAATTTTCCTGACCCAGGAATTGAACCTGGGCCTTCCTGCATTGCATGCAGATTCTTTACCATCTGAGCCATAACTAAATCACTTTGCTGTACCCCTGAAACTAACACAACATTGTAAATCAACTGTACTCCAATAAAAACTGAAAGAAAAAAATTAAAACCTAAAAACTGAATTACCATATGATGCAGCAATTCTACTTCTGCATATATATATACCCCAAAGAATTAAAAGCCAGGTCTATGAAAAGATACTTGTATATTCATATTCATAGCAACATGATTCACAATAGCTAGAAGGCAGAAGCAACCCAAGTGTTTATGATGGATGAATCTATAAGTTAAATGTGGTATATACATACAAAAGAATATTATTCCCTTAAAAATGAAAAATTCCAATACTGGCCACACCATGGATATACCTGAGGATATGATGTTAAATGAAATAAGCCAGTCACAAAAAGGTAAACACTGTATGATTCCTCTTGCATGAAGTACCCAGAGTATTCAGACAGAAAGTAGAATGGTGGTTGCCAGGCCCTGAGATGAGAGAGAATTGGGGAGTTAGTGATTAATGGGTACAGAGTTTCAATTTTGCTGAATGAAAAGAGTGATGGAGATGAATCATGGTGATGGTTGCACAACAAGGAGAATGCATTTAGTACTACTGACCTGCATTATTTTTAATTGAATTGAATTTAAGATGCTACATTTTATGTGTATTTTCCACAATTTTTTAAATTGTAAAATAAAACCCAAAAAACTAGGGTCATGACCTCTAAGGCCATAAATGTGCTTGCCCCCCATTACCTCTCATGCACTCCAGTCCCGCCCCAGTGGCCTCTTTAAATTTCTCCAAACAGGGCAAACACATTCCTGCCCCAGGGCCCTTGCACTGTCTGTTACCTGGAATGCCCTTCCCGCAGATACCAGCTCGGCTGTCACTTCCTTCATGTCTCTGCTCACATGTCTCCTTATCAGTGAGGCCTTTCCTCATTCCTCTGCCAAAAAAGCATCCTCTGACGTTCTCTATCCCTTTATGTTGTTTCACTGTCTTCATGGTATTCGCTTCTAGCTGACACGTATTAAAGGTATTTGTTTACGCAGAGAAGTGATCAGGGTGCCTTCTGTCATGGAGTGACAAGTCTGCAAGGTAACATGCCTTCCACAGCTGCATCCCATCGTCCCATCCCAGTCCCATTCTAGGCAGAGTCCGTGTACCCTCGACCTCCATTTCTCTTTGCATGACCCAATAGTGTTCACATTAGGTTTGTGGTGGGGAGGTGTCTTTTTTTTTTTTTTTTATTGCCTCGCACAACTTGTGGGATGTTAGTCCCCTGCCAGCGATTGAACCGGGGTCCTCTGCAGTGAAACCCAGAGCCCTAAGCCCTGGACGGCCAGAGAATTCCCTTTTTGCCCATTTTAGACCTGTGAGTTTTTTCATCCTAAGATTCTCAGCACCCAGCCCGAGGCCTGGCACCTAGGGCACAAGATAATTCTTCATTGAATGAACAAGATAGCCAAGTAAATCAAATAACTCTGGCCCCCAGGCTATCATGTATGTTGTGGGTCTACTTAATATTATCAGAAACCTTAGATTAATCTTGCTACTATAGCCTGAAAAAGTGTGCATGATAACAATACGTGCTTCCTGAACACCAGTATAAGCCAGAGGCTTTACTACCATCATTTCTAATTTTGAGGCAAAGTGGAGACTAGTCTCTGCATTTGCTGGCAAAGGAAACCAGTTTTGGAGAGACTGAGAGAGGCTGGAGGATGACGGCAAAGGCAGGACGCACACCCCGGCGCGTCCACGCTACCCGGGTTAAGAAATGAGCTTTCAGGACATTCCCTGGTGATCCGGGGGTTAAGATGCAACAACTTCACGGCTGGGTCCTGGGTTCCATTCATGGTTGGGGCACTAAGATCCTGAAAGCTGCGTGGCACAGCCCCAGCAAAAAGCTCAGAAACAAGACAAAGCAACAACTGTCTGCAGCTCTTCTGTTTCCTTGGAGTTCCTTCCTTTTTGGTGTCTGTTTCTTCCTCCACATGTATCACCCCTCCCTTCCTCCCCCTCTTATTTTTCTTCTTCAACCTTTGCTTCTTTCTGCTCTTTTCTGCTCTCTCCACTTTGCCCTCTTTCCCTCCGTTTCAGCGCCTCGTCTCAGTCTTTGTAACCAGACCAGAGCCAAGTCATTTGTTTATTTGGAAGTTGGAGCTGAGAAAAGAAGTCAAAATCTCTCCACACATTAAAACAAAGACGGGGCATTTTATATTCCCTTTCATGGTCAAAAGATGATCCTTCCTTTCTTCCCCTTCACAAAATCCATTTAGGTGTTTATAGACCAGTTATCCTAACAATGACTGCCCTTTGCTTTTCTCTCTGTGCCAATTAACATTCTTAATTACCTCGCTCTAACCCACTCACTTTTTGTGTCTTGGGTAGAGTTCTCTGACAAGTTTATTTTCAATTATAATTTATATTGCAATGATAGATAGATATTTATGACAGTAAACTTTCCAGTGCTGGGCTTTTAGCTCTTAAAGGTTTGTTATAATAAAGAACGCTTGTGGCAAATTGACAGAGGTGCCTCCTCAGTGTTATTTTTTTGAAGACAAGTTCAGAATAGGTATTTTTTGGGAGCGGGGGAAGCAGGGTGTGTGTCTGCAAGGTAATCACAAAAAAGAAAGAAGAAAAAGCAAGAGAAAACTTTTAGGAAAGGTTGTGGGGGCCAATACAGAAATGTTTAAAGAATGAATCAGAATTACTAGCAAGGGAAATGCAGTGGAAAGTGCTTTTTAGCAGAAAAATTGTTCAATCAATTGAACCTTCAACTTGCTTTTGAAAATCTATACATTTCTCCTGTCCAGTTACGAAATATCTGAATGTCCCGATAAGCATGTTTATGGTTTTACCCTTTTAGCTTGACCACTCATGTTACCCAGGCTCATGTCTTGCACAAGAACCCACAAAGGAATAAGAGAGTATTTTCAGAAGCTTTTGATGGGTTGTGAATTTGAGAAGCACCAACATTTATTGCAGAAAAACTCAGGATGTGTGGTCTTAAGAAAAGAAAGCCAAAATTTGCACAGAGCCAAATCAACAGGATGTTCACTCTCATATTCTCTATAATAAAGACAACTCAATATATAACAGGGATTGGTTAAGTGGATTAAAGGTTCATCCATAGAGTGAAAAAATTACATGATAAAACAAAGATTTGTTGTTAGCAAGGTAGAAAAGGCTGATACTATCCCATTCAAGTAAAATAGAACTGCAAAATGTTTTTTTTTCTTTCTTTTTTTCCCCCTAAAATGTATTTTCAAATAGATCTCAACTCTGTAAAAGTTATGATATTCATGAAAGAAAGATCAGAAGAAAATTCACTCAAATATTATCTTTCTCTCATCTGTAGAAGCAGCAGAAAAATTACTCAAATCATCCCAACAAGGGAATGAGGGAATATAAGCCTGTACAACCTGAGAGAAAAGCTGGGGATGCATGGGTTTGATTCAACTGGGGGGGTTAACAAGGTTCCCTGTACAATTTGAGAGAAAAGACGGGATGCATGGCTGTTCAGTCGTATCCGACTCTTTCAGCTATATACCCAAAAGAGGACATGCTAGATTCTATGGTAATTCTATTTTGATTTTTTTAAGAAACCATCATACTATTTTCCACGACAGTTGCACATTGTACATTTCCATCAATGGTCAGG